TATGCCCAACTCACCCTCCTGATAACTTGTCATTGAACCCTTTTCACTTGGAATGACACGTTATCAAGCATGTACTGCATTTAACAAAAGCTTGCTCTTGGTTTCCAATGCACAATTTCTAGAATTCTCAATGCTTGCCCCAAACAATCTGGCTTTTCTTAAATGTGAACCATGATAAGAATCCAAAATGACATTGTTCATATCTGGAGTCCACTCTTTATTGTCTCTGGATTAACTGTGTTAGGTTAAGTATACATGGTAGGTGATAGGTTCTCCCTATCATAATTTAGCAGTTTGAAACATTTGTTCTGTTTGAAAGACACTGTATAAGTGCAAGTTAGCAATTCCAGAGTGTGTGAGCTGCATGACCACCTATCTAGTTACTTATCACTGAAGCAACTAGATATGCTATCTGCTTTATGTAAATGGTACAGCTGGCAAAAAAGGACTTTGTGTAGCTATGGAATGTGAGATAAAAATGCAGTAGTTGCAATGCTAGACTATTATCAGTAGGTTGGAGGAGAAGAGACACTCATATCAATCAATCATAAATGGTTCTTTGTACTTTACTGCAATCTCAAAGCAATAATAAGCTTGGATGATATAGAACAGGCTCTAGAATGGAAAGAATCTGAGTTGAAGTCATGTAATTTGTGTTTTATTATTTGACTGATGTGCAATTGCAGAACTGATTTTGCTTTAAACATGTATCCTTTAAAATAGTATGGGTCGACAGTTGAGCGAGGTTTTCATCCAACTACCCTCTCGAAAAGAGCTGCCTGAATACTACGAGCTTATCCGAAAACCTGTGGATTTCAAGAAGATAAAGGTGGGTAAATCACAATCTAGGTCATTTAGAGTTTATCATAAGCATTTGTCAGAAGGTTGTTTTTTTTTTTGCTTCCTTGCCTTCTCTCTTCCTCCATGCCCCCAATTCCAGTGAGACTGGAATGTTTTAATCTGCTTGGAAATGATCTATTTTATACAGCTGATTTAATTCTACATCGTGTTCAGCTGAATATGAAAGGAGTAACTCATGAAATTAACTTTTAGCTTCTGCTTTCATATCTGAAATAATAAACCTTACATTTAATATAGAGTCTTGTCTCATAAATGTCCCAACATTTCGCAGGATTTACTGTGAAGTCTAGTGATAACTAATTTGTACACAGCAATGTCCCAGAAACAACTAGGAGTGAATGAACAATTTTAAGCGGTGGATTGTTGGCTGGACATTGGGAGAAATTCCCTTCTCTTATTGAGTAGTGCCATGGGAGCTTTAATCTATAAATAGATATATATAATTATTGATATAGTGCTTTTCACGTTCCTGGTATAGCTCTTGTTGAGTTGTGTCTGAGACAAGAACCAGCAAATTGGTCCTTAAGCCACAGCTCTATCCACTACACTATTAGGGTGGGCTGAGCAGTTTTTCATCCAGTGTTATTTGTCAGGTCACCTGTGTCCTACGATTTTACACAACTCCCGAAAGGAAAATCAATGGCAAATGTCAGAGAAACCAAAGCACGAAGAGTTCAACACACCATGATATTAGCGCCACCTTCTGTTATTTCCACTAAAATCATTTACAAGGTCAGCCGAACAGTTTACCACTACTTGCTGCAGTGGCACGAAAAAGAGTTCAATATTACCTGCCTGGCAACTAACCCAAGCGAACTGCTAAACGAACAAATAAAAAGCCAAATACACTATCAGCAATCGGTCTATGTCTTATCACTTAACCCACACCACTGATTGGCCAATTCACTCAATCCATGACTGCTTGTGGGACACTGCTGTGCGAAATTGGCTGCCGTGTGTCACCCACAAAATATAGTTTACAGTATATTCTGTGAAGCGCATTGAGACGTCCCAAAGACGTGATAAGGCGCTATATCTAATGCAAGGATTGCTTTAATGTTTCTCGTGCTTTATCGTTTTTGTTTCATATTTCCAACATTCTCATTCTCAGTTTTTGTCTTTTATCTCCACCTTGTGCCAGTCCATGTATGTGTGTTGTGTGAATACTCTTGAGGATTATTCTTTGCTCATCATTAAATTTATGGCTCGAATTGCTTCACCTCAGAGGCAGAGAGGCCACTGTAGTGAAAGGGTCAGCCAATGTATGAACTGAGTTTGAAAGAATAGACTGGAGGCACAAGTCAGTCTTTTACTGTGAGCACTGGAAATTATTACAGGAGAATAATATATTCTGTGAAATAAGCTGTGCAGCTGTAATGGAAACAATCACTACAATAGACAAAGGGGTTCCTGAGAAGGGCTTTGAGTTGTTCGACATTGTAGGCACTATAAAAATGCAAGTTCTTCTTTGATAACTATAAATATATTCACTACTGTACAGTGCTCTGAAGTACTTCATGTGAATAAACTCCTGTGGGAAGGCCTTCAAAACAGCTACCTTCACAAACCTCTGAATGGAAACATCCCAGAGCAGAATGATTGAGGGTAACTCGGTACTCATCAGAGCAGTGAACAGACTGACTGAAACAAACCTGTCCAATTGTATAACATTTTACAGTACAAACACACTATTAAAGGCCAACAGAGTGGCGTATTTTGCCCTTAGCAGTGAGTTTGTAATTCCCACTACCATCAGTTTCAAATGAAAAGACATCCAGACATTGCCCTCATGAATGAGCTATCGATAAGGTGAAGTGCAACAGTACAGCATAACATGAGCTGCTGGTGACACAATGACACTGCGCTTGGTTCAACTGAACAAGCACTCTCCCTCCACAAGGCTCGGGGATGTTGAGGGGGACAAAGTGATCGTGGAGAAGGCACGTACGTGCTTCTTGTGGCTGGCATATCTCGTCTGCAAGGCTTCAAGATGTTTCAGCAGATTCCATAAAGATGCACTGCAGCCAGTGGATCCTCTTGCCTACCCTCCCTTGGCAGATGTTTGTCAGTGACAAATCCTTGTCATTGCCAGCAGTTTCTGAGCCTCCTGACATATCCATGTGTAGTCTCTGAGCTCTGAGGTGGATGGAGTGTAGCTAGAAAACGACACTCATCTGAGAGAACACAAAAAAGGGAGTTTTAACTGTGAAACAGGTGACTACAGCCACAGAAACAATTTCTGAAGCAACTAGAAAAGTAGATGTGTTGCAACTATGCCCTAAAGTTTAGTGTAGAATTTGTAAGTGTATTAGAGACTTCAAAAACATTTTTGGGTGTACGTTTATACAATCAATTTATATATAAGGTTTTTTTCTCTGAAAAGAGAACATGTAATTTAAACTTACCAGAAATGCGAGATTCAAGAGTAGATGCTTCACTTTTGGATTCAATCCGGAATTTCAAAATCGATATTTCCGTCCACGTTAGACGTCCCATAGCTTTCTGACCACTGTAATTGTAATTTCAGGCCATTGACTCTTCCAGGCTCTGTTGGTAGCACTCTCACCTCATTGGGAACTTTGAACTCACGGTTCACATAATGCAATATACATTGGAAGTGCTGACCAGCAAACTCATTTATAAGGCAGGTTAGAATCTTTTGCAGGATTCTGTGCAGCATACTATTCTCTATAATACAGTAAATTCCTGATAACTTGACCCCGGCTTAATTTGTCACCATCCCTCAAGTCATCATTCTGTCTATATCCCGGCCATATTTATTTGTGGATTTTTACATATGCCTAACTCGCCTCTCCTGATAACTCATCACTAGGCCTTTTCCTTTGGAGTGGTGAGTTATCAGGAGTTTATAACACAATATACAGTCCACTATTCTCTAACATACAGAGTCTTCTGATCTCTATGACATACACAGGGTTTGATGTTTTAATCCTTGCAGTTAATATACAACAACAACAAAATTTGTATAGCGCCTTTCATGTTGGGAGGACGTCCCAAGCTGGGGGTTGGGATTGCGGAGGGTGGAGTCCAAGGGGGAAAGGAGGGTGATCAAAAGCACTTTTATAGTGCTTTTATCACATTGTTGAAAGATCTCAAAGCGCTTCACAGGATTTACTGTTAAGTGTAATGCCTGTGCATTCGCAAGCGAACATGGCAGCCAATTTGCACGTAGCAATATCCCACAAAAAGCATTAAAATAAATTGTCATTTTTATTTGAGAGGGGTAATTGTTGGCCACAGCACCAGGAGAAAGCCTTTCCTTTTTAAATATTGCCATGGAATCTTTAACAAGCAGATGATATCTGGTTCAAAGATTCATCCGAAGTACGGCACTTCCAACGGTGCAAAGCTCCCCCAACATTGTACTGTGTCTGCCTAAACAATGAGCTCAAAGTCCCACCGTGAGACATGGAACATGAACCAACATTCTTCTGACCCAGAGGCAAGAGTACTACCAACTGAACTAGGCTGACGTCTGATATTTTCTTTAAAATACACAGAGCGTGATATTCTCTATGTATACAGTCTAATATTCTCTATAGTATACACAGAATCTGATATTCTCTATGATATACAGTAAAACTTACATAAGTCTTATCTTTATAAATTGTAAAATCACAAGTCGTGCATTCACCTGAGTCCCATTCAGTTTCCTATCAAAACTACTTACATTTATTTGCACTACTTGTTTTATTCACCTCCTAACTCATCTGCTGCTGCTCCCCTATCTCCATTACTTACGCACTTACCAGCTGCATCGAATCACGGGAAATGACGTCCTGACCGTTGATGTATTCTCACTTTCCAGCCGGCTACATTGAAGCGCGGGAATTGCAGTCTTGACCCATCGACACATGCGCAGAAGAACTTCATTTCCCGCGTCAATGCAATTCCAATGCTTGCCGGCAAGTTGACCATGTGGTGATAGGTCAAGATGCATTGAATCGCAGGAAGCTTAGTTTTGATCTGTCACCACATGCACACTCACCAGCTGCGTTCAATTATACATGGGTAGTGTAAATTATTGATTAAATTTGCTTTTATACGACTTAGTTTTCAACTTGTATTTCACATAAGTCATATTAAATTAAATTAAGTCCCGAATGATAATACTAATCCTTGCATTCGATATAGCGCTTTTCACATCTTCTAGATGTCTCGCAGCAGTTCACAGAATATACCGTAAAGCAAATTGATTGTGGGCGAAACACAGCAGCCAATTGCACACAGCAGTGTCCCACAAACAGTTGTGGAATAAAGTGACCATTTACTATTAGGTTTTTTTATTGAGGGATTATTATCAGGTTTGTGGAGTAAGGAAACTTGCCCAATGTTTCGCCCTGCCTGGAACCCAGGTCTCTCGCTTGCAAGGCGAGTGCTCTAACCACTGAGCTACAGGACTCCACAACTTATATGAGTTTTATTGTATATAGTCTGAAATAATCTCTATAATATGCAAAGAATCTGATACTCTCTCATGTACAGAGTCTAATATTCTCCATAAGTTACAGATGCTAGGTCTCATAATATCCACAGGATATGCTTGTCTGTGTAATATAAGGGTCTGATATTTTCTAAATATACAAACTGAGTCTGAGCCTGGAGAAGGTCATAAAAGGAGGAAGCTGAGCATGTACAGGGATTTGTAGGTAAAAGTGAGGATCTTGAAATTGATCTGCTGGGAAATTGAGGGCGATGAAGTTTAATAATAATAATCCTTGCTTTTGCATTTCACAGAGCGCCTTATCGTGTCAATGAGATGTCTCAAAGTGCTTCACAGAACATACTATAAAGTGAATTGACTGTATATTTTGTGGATGAAACATGGCAGCCAATTGTGCACAGCAGTGTCACACAAACAGTCGTGGATTTTAGTGAGCAATTTTTTTTGATGTGTTGTACCTAATAATAATTAATTAAACAATTGTGCATAAGACTCTTTAAAATTGTTGGGGCAAAAACAAATCATAGCTGTAAAGAGGGGCAAGGATATAACAAGCATCTTACCTTCTCGTCACTTTCATTTCTCTGAAAATCAAAGCAAGTGACAAAGTAAATCCTTTTGCTCTCAATATACAGTGCACTGTACATGGACGGGTAAGCTTATGGGATGCACCAGCTAAACCCAACATGAAAACATGTTGGGTTTAGCTGGTACGTAAAAAGGAGATAATTATTGGGGTCAATCTGCAACAAATGGATTAGGTTTAAACCACAAATGAGAGACGGTCAGTAGTGGGACATCCTCCCGACGTGAAAGGCGCTATACAAACATAATTTTGTTGTTGTTGTTGTAGTACTCAAGGCTGCATGACTTGTTTATTAAATGTAGCGAGATCAATGGCAATACCCCAACGCACAGTCTACAGTCCCCAAAGCTTGGTTCTTGCCAACATGCGTCTAATGCTTTAATGCTTTCCAGTATTAGGAAAGCAGGATGTGTCCCTCCAGGGAGAGAGTGCGCATTCCATTCCAACAATCCATCTCTGGGATTTCCATGTGTTGGTGCAATTCATGGAATTCACAGTTTGGTTTGGATACTCTTAAGGATGGTGATGGGTTTCCGCAGGTGTCAGACACTTGGCTGACTAAAATTAATATACTTGTGTTTCTGCATCAAATAAACATTCAGTCCTGTAACAAGGTTAGGATAACTGGTCAGTGCTCCAGGACCCTGTCCCAATAAGTTCTGGGACATCAGCTGATGGTTAGTCAGCTGTCCATACCAAACATATCTAATCTGCGCGTGTGAAAGAGAGAGAGGGAGAAAAGAGAGAGGGAGTGGGGGGGAAGAGAGAGTTCATGTGTGTGTATGCGATAGTCGGAAAGAGAGACATTATATGTGGTGTGCTCAAGAGCTTATGTATGTGTGTGTGGGGGGGGGGAGGGGAGGGGAAGAGTTCATGTGTGTGAGAGAGGGGAGAGAGAGTGCTCTATTCCAAGACATTTTGACCCCATTTTCCTTTAAACTGGGGAACAATTCCACTGTTGCCCTCCAGCACCTGGCCCGAGTATACTTAACGTGAAACAATGGGGTGCACAGCAAATCCTACCTGCCACTGGTTTGTTGTCTGACCAGTCACCATGGACGCTGAAAGCCCCCGAAGGCTGTTTTTCACAGTTGTCCCTCCCAGTGTGGAGCCCACGTCAGAAGCAGGCGAGTCTGCTGCCACTGCCATCTGGTACTGTGGATAGTTGTAAAGGTTGTTGTAATAAGCTGGGTACAGAGATGGCTGATAAAAGTTGCTGTAGTAGGAAGAGTCCACTACCAGGTCCGGGGTGGCTTCCAGGTGCCCTCTGCTGGTTATAGATGGAATGTCCTGAAGATGCAAGCGCCCCTCTGCAAAACAGAAGACAACAGGGTGTCAAAGGCATTCAATTCACTGTGACTACAGAACAGGGTGTCAAAGGCATTCGCTGTGACAATGCACCAGTCTTTTAAATACACCTTCAAGCAACAGTGAAGGCAAAGGTGTTGAAGAAGTTACGCTCCAGGAACACGGCAGTGGGGTGTATAGCACTTTGAGATATCCTCCCCAATGTGAAAGTTGCTCTATAAAACTAAACTATATTATAAAGAGTTTCAGTACTTAAAATTATTTAAAATATTTTCAAATATTTTATTGTAATAATAATCCTTGCATTTGATATAGTGCCTTATCACGTCTTCGAGACGTCACTGGCTGATTCGATGAATTGAAGGCCTCCTTTCTCTCTCACCAACTACAACAACAATAGCCGGGCTCATCGGCAGGTCCTGGAAGGGCAGACAAGTCACTGGGAGAAGGGAATCTTCACACTCAGCTCCTGTTAACCCTAAGCTTCTGTTAACCCTACAAGCCAAAGCCCTAACAGATAAGAGTGGTCCAAACTAGACAAGCAGCCGGAAAGCTTGCCTGAGAGCAATATCAATGGCAAGGATTGTGGTTTTAGCTGGTTAGACTCCAGCAGTTACGCCAAAGCACACTCTGGCGTACCCAAGCCTTGGCTCTTGCCAACCTGCGCCTAATATTTTCCAGAATTAGATGAACAGGATGAGTCCCTCCAGGGAGAGAGTGCACATTCCATTCCAACAATCTATCTCTGGGATTTTTATGTTGAGGTGGGATGGAATTTTCAAGATTGGTTTGGATGCTCTTAAGCATGGTGATGGATTTCCACGTGTGTCAGACACCCGGCTGACCAAAAAGAACAGGTTTCTACATTTATCTCTAAGACCAGCCACCAGGGGTGCAGAAGAGCGGCCTAGGGCCAGTCTCCCTCTGGCCTTCCCTCCTGCTAGCAATACTTTACTCTCCACTCACAACCTCCCTCGCCTCGTTTGTAGCTGTTGCGATGTTTCAACGTTCATCTACAAAACACACGGTCACTACAGTATGTACGGCAAGCGCTTTGCAATGTCATCCCAAAATTAAATATGCTTTATCAAGTGCAAGGATTATTATTACAAATGACATGGGAGGGAACAGGAGAGGTGAAGATGGTGGACTGGAAGGAGGTAGGGGAATGCGAGGGGAGGGAGAGAAGAGAAGGTGTTTTCACCCCACCTCCACGAGATGGAAAGCCAAGCTTGAGGCCAGATTCCCATTATTTTCAGGCAATGGGAAGGCTGATTTCTCGGACCAAGTCACACAGTCTGCCAACACAGCGCTCCCCCAACACTGTACTAGAGCATCAGCCTCAACTGTGAGCTCAAAATCCTAACATGTGGCTTGAACCCACATCCTTCTGACAAAGATCATCCTGACCTCTGCAGCTCAAGTCCTCTCTGGCCCGAGGCTCCGTGACCCCATCACCTCCACTGCCAGCCCCACTGGCTCCCTATCCTCCAGAGGATAGAGTTCAAAATCCTCATCCTCACCTTCAACACCTTCCACTGCCTTGCTCCTCCCTACCTCTGCAACCTGCTGACCCCATATCAGCCTGTTAGCTTCCTCCGCTCAGCAGGTTCTGGCCTGCTCCATATTCACTGTCCGGCCCACTTCACCATCGGCGGCCGGGCCTTAAGCCTTACTGCCCCCACCCTATGAACTCTATCCCACATTCCCTTCACCTCGCACCCTCCATTGCCTCCTTCGATGCGCCTCTCAAAATCCGAGCTTTTAGCCACCTTCCTACCCTCCCCGATCCACAGCTTGTGTCCAAGTCCCTGACTGTCCAGGGCCTTAGGATGTCCTTCCAACCGAAAGGCGCTATATAAATATAATTTATATTGTAAGTGTCGAGAGTGCTATCAACTGAGCCAGGCTTACATTAGTGCCAGTTCAAGGGCGTTTTGAAAGGGTATCTCCTCTCTCCTCCCTCCACAGCCCCCCCACCCCCAACACATTCCCACTCCGGAAGAACCAAATATTACTGCTGACGTAGTACATCCTGATAACATCGCCTGTGAGTAAGGCTCTGGAATGTTGTACCGTGTGAGTGAGGTTATCACTGAGAAATGCTGTACAGTCCGGAAGCGATTCGCTAACAGTTTGTACTTCATACGGTTTGTGATCCTTGATTTCAATTCCTTTCACTTTCCTCCCCACATCCCAAAAGCAGGCTGTTTCACAACAGAATAAAAAGAGTACAAGAGTTAAATGGCGCTGGAAGATACAAAAAAAAGATATGAAAACTGGTGCAAGAAACTCATTCAATCAATATTCTTCATCCGAATAAACTTTAGAGACATCTCAATGACGTGATAAGGCGTTTTTATCAAATGCAAGTATTATTATTATCATAAGTTGTATTTAGTCTTTTAACTCTGCACATAAGCTTTCAATCAGACATTTCTTGTTTCTCCCAAAACAAAAAAAGACAATAAACTGCGATATTAAAACTGCATCTGCACTTGTCACTTTGTCTTAATTGTTTGTTGGCCAAAGCTGGGGCCCCTCCCCTGTTCCACTCTATCACTGCCCTGATAGCATTGTTCCTCAGCCTGGTTCATGATCCCCCGAAGCCTGCAAACAGCCTTGAATTTCACTCGTGTCATGCTATCCCCTGGACACACAATCAGAACTGAAAGAACAATTTGTTTCTCCCACAAGACAACGTGAACGAAATGACTGGTGTAAAGGACCAGTTTTGGCACTTGCCAAGATACTTCAGCTCAGCACTGATACGTTCTGAATATAAACGTGGGTTCACTCTTTGTGGCATCATTTTTTTAAAAAAAACCTCTGCATAATGTCAAAGGTAAATCTTATTAAAGTATGCAAGATCCAAAAGGGCAAAGAAAAACTAAACCTTAACAATACGTTCAACGTGGGGGGGGGAAATATAAAGCAAGGAGGACATGGACTCAAGTTCAGGTGAGGGAAGGTGTACAGAGAATTGCAAGTACGTAGAATAGACGACTTAGAGAGTTGATGGGGCTAGAGACTGTGTCAGCAAACTCAAGATGGAGTTCCAATGTTATTTAGCGAAGACATCACTTGAGGGCTGTTGGAGAGGAGGGCAGTAAGATCATTTCATTGTTTTAAAAAAAAACTTTGTGACCAGCCAGCCAGAGATATACACAATGGCCTTTTCCAATTCTATACATGGCTATGTAGGTCCAGAATGGATCCAAGCCAAATGCTCCATTTATATTTAGCAAATGTCGGAGCAATACTTTACTCTGAAAAAGTCAGCGCTGAAAGTATCCTGTACATGGTAGAGGTTGGATGGTAGTGATGACCTCACTGTCCAGATGTAGTGATGACCTCACTGTCCAGGTGTAGTGATGACGTCACTGTCCAGGTGTGGTGATGACCTCACTGTCCCAGGTGCAGTGATGACCTCACTGTCCAGATGTAGTGATGACCTCACTGTCCAGGTGTAGTGATGACCTCACTGTCCCAGGTGTAGTGATGACCTCACTGTAATGATGACCTCACTGTCCCAGGTGTAGTGATGACCTCACTGTAATGATGACCTTACTGTCTAAGTGTAGTGATGACCTCACTGTAATGATGACCTTACTGTCTAAGTGTAGTGATGACCTAACTGTAGTGATGACCTCACTGTCCCAGGTGTAGTGATGACCTCACTGTCCCAGGTGTAGTGATGACCTCGCTGTAGTGATGATCTCACTGTCCCATGTGTAGTGATGACCTGACTGTCCCAGGTGTAGTGATGACCTGACTGTCCCAGGTGTAATGATGACCTCACTGTCCCAGGTGTAGTGATGACCTCGCTGTCCCAGGTGTAGTGATGACCTGACTGTCCCAGGTGTAGTGATGACCTCACTGGAGTGATGACTTCATTGTCCAGGTGTAGTGATGACCTCACTGTAGTGATGGTATCATTGTAGTGCAACTTGTTGACCCCATATCAACCTCTCCGCTCCCTCCACTCAGCAGGTTGTGGCCTGCTCCACGTCCCCCGCCTTCAAACCTCACCCTGTGGAACTCCATCCCATGGTTCCTTTGCCTCGCTCCCTCCCTTTCAAACACAGATTAGATAGTTTTCTTTTAGGAAATAATAAAATTATGGGATATAGTACATAGATAGTGTGGGACATATGTGCATGCAACCGCCAGGAAGATGTAAGGCAAACTAAATGGACTTGGTCTTTTTTATTCCTTTGACTTCTTCTATTCCCGATAGGGTGAAATGTTGGTCAAGTTTCCTTACTCCACAAGCCTCTGCTTACCTAGCAGAAGGTAAGAACATGGTTGTTAGTCGATTGGCGATTCGCTTTTCTGGGGATAATAATCCTTAAAAAAAAATGTGGTCATTCAATCCACGACTGTTTGTGGGACACTGCTGTGTGCAATTAGCTGCCGCGATTTGCCCACAAATATAGTCAATTCACTTTGCAATATATTCTGTGAAGCGCTTTGAGACGTCTCGAAGACGTGAAAAGCGCTTTATCAAATACAAGGATTATTATTATTATTATCTTTTCATCTGGCATTTCTTAGGTTCTTATGACCTCACTTCCCGGGTATGGTGATGATCTCACTGTCCCGGGTGTAGTGATGACCTCACTGTAGTGATGACCTCGCTGTCCTGGGTGTGGTGATGACCTCACTGTCCCGGGTGTGATGATGACCTCACTGTCCCGGGTGTGGTGATGGCCTCACTGTCCTGGGTGTGGTGATGACCTCACTGTCCCGGGTGTGGTGATGACCTCACTGTCCCGGGTGTAGTGATGACCTCACTGTCCCGGGTATGGTGATGACCTCACTGTCCCGGGTGTAGTGATGACCTCACTGTCCCGGGTGTGGTGATGACCTCACTGTCCCGGGTGTAGTGATGACCTCACTGTAGTGATGACCTCACTGTTCTGGGTGTGGTGATGACCTCACTGTCCCGGGTGTAGTGATGACCTCACTGTCCCGGGTGTGGTGATGACCTCACTGTCCC